AGAATCCAACGCCAGGCAGTTGCTATCTGACTGACTGGAGGTACGTCTGGAGCGAAAGGTCCTCTTCTTCGGCACTGGCCTGTAACCCAGAGAAGAGCCCTCTGATGTGAGGGAGCCCGTTGAAGTCCGGCGGCTCTCTGCTGGGTGTCTCTTCAGCGGAGATATGGGCTCTGAGGGAATCAACACACAAGTAAGGCTCAGTCTAGATTTTTGGTGCAATATTGCACTGCTAATGCTTTTCACATGGATTTGTGTGGCCTGCATTTGAGTGTCAGTTCACACCTGTCTCGGGTGGCTCCTGGTCCCGACAGGTTGACACGTCATCAGTATTTTCAGGTGGCTCAACAACAATAAGGGAAGCACGGTTGAAAGGGTTGTGCCGCGGCTTAAAGTACATTTTTTATAATTAATGTTTGACACAACAATGTTTTCAATATGATTGTGACAAGGTTGCAACAAAGAAAGGGGAACAATCACAGAACAGGGCTGAGCAACACATTTGCCTACCGTTCTTGGAGAGCGGACCGCTGAATTGATATTCTCTTTTTCTGCATTGCTGTGGTAAAAACAATAAAAATATCAATCTAGGAAAGATGAAATTAAAGGAAATACGAACGCTATACAGCAATAAATTAAGTGCAGTTTAACTATGCGTGCCTGCTAAAAAACATCTCAACAACAACGTTTTTTTTTCCTGAAACTGTTGGGGTAGTAGTGTGCATGACTGGTGCTTGTTGACTCGTTATTAATGCTGGTTTCAAAGTGAAACTCAAACCAACTCAAACCAACGTAATCAACCATAACATCAATGGGAGGTTGGAGAGCATCGCATATAATCTGGAATGTGGCTGAACAAGAGGATTTGTGCAACGTTAATTGATTGATTGCATTTACAAATGCATGTTTGAAACAACTTTTACTGGAATTACTGCGCTATTGGGCAACAAAAAAAAGTTTAAGCAATTAAATTCGTGGATGTCGCACCACACATAGTACATCATGGCCAAATTGTAAGGACTGAAAATTCTAGGAAAGGATTTGTCGTAACAAGCGGATACTTTTTTCCTGCTAACAGGAAGGAGAGGAACGTCCTGATCCTGGTGGAATTTAATTTCAGAAACAACCACCACAATAGCACAATCAGCCACTTCTCATTCAGTGTCATCATGCAGGGAGCTCTGCTGAGTTAATCCCTTAATATGTCGAACCACGTCCAGCAGTGCTGTGAGCAATCGCTGCAGCCGGGCTGTAAAATAGACATTTTACCAGTAAGCACCACCTATGTTTGCACAGACTGAGTCACAAGACACACAAGGCACACACACACACACACGCAAGTAGTGTACACACTGTCAAAGCGAGAGAGCGAGGAGCTGCTCCGGGGATTCAACTTGATTGAGTTATTTAATGGTATCCGAGGACAATAAGTTAAGAGGTTAAATCCGTGAATAACAAAGGAATGTGTACTTGATCTCCTGCGGCTGCAGAGCTCCTGAACATCTGGCCGGTTTAGGTGGAGCGGCGATGTCTGAACCTCGACTGCTGGGTGTCTTGAGCCTTTCAAGTCTGAGAGAACCATCTGCAGCAGAAAGGATCTTTGTTTACACCAGCTGATATTGATCTAAACATTCTGTTTTAGAATGAAACATTGCAGTAAGTTTGTTCAACTTGAGTTTGTTTTCAAGCCGAACTGCAGGGAAACACTTGATCATTCAACACAGAAAATACATCTAAAGAAGAACAGGTAAAAATATGAAAGCCTACTGAGGTAGCAAAAAGAGCTCTAACATTTGCTTTAAAACCAGCCCTTTGTCAACAGAAGAACTCACCTAAACCCGCTTTCCTCTGTTTCATGGAGGCCAGGATGATCTCTGAACCATGGATTTTGTCCATGTGTCTGCGAGACTTGGCCTCATAAAACCACTCTCCAGTTCGGTACTTCAGCTGGGAGTCTACCTGCGTCTTGCTCTCAGGTGTCCGCTCCAGTTTCCTGGAGGCGAAACACAAAAGAGACATGTACAAATGTCACAAATGTCATTCATTACCAGTGCGACACATGTTCATTCTAGTTGAGTGGCTTTTCGCAATTAATGTTTTTAAGTACTTTCAGCGTATTATCTCCCGAGGCATTTTATGAACTGAGCTTAAAATGGTAAAAAAAAAGTTGACTCTACTGCACTGCAATTACAGTAGCACATGATCTATCTAATGGAAAGAATTCGGAAAACATTCTCATCAAGTTGAAATTGAATCAGGGAGAAACCGCTCCAACCGCATCGTCCGTCTTGATGCAGACACGGCGGTCATGTGAATAAAGGGTAGCACTTTATTACAGGCTGTTGGTTTAATCCTTTTACACCAGACCGGCAGAGACACAGGAAGCATTCAGCCTCCCGCTGAGAAAAGAAAGAACTTGGCCAACCAGCTCCATTAAACCCCCCAATGAAAAGCACAGTATTTCATTAGACTTTTAAATCACGTTATTGACATGACACATCTTTAAAAAGGGACTCTCTTTTGTTGTTTACATGCATGACTGCATTTTGTTTAGGGAAACAGAAGTTTCGTTTTCTGCACATGGGAGGGATCAGCCTTTTGTTTGTCTTAATAACAAGCCTTGAATATACACAGAGGTTTGACCCCCCCAAAAGAGAGCTGTTCTTAAAACGTTTTTCTAAAAGCAGGCGGTATGAGGTGTCTCTCACCATCGAGGCCTTTAAGGGTTTCTATTCTTGTCCTTTAGGGCAGCATGACCGTCTCCCATGTGTGGATTACATCTTGACTTTAATCTAATTCCCCTCCTCAGCAACGGCGTCTGTATCCGGCCCAGCTGTTATTGTGTTATTCCATTATGGCAGGACAAGTATTATTTTGACTGTCCCACAAAGGCATCTTCTCACATAACGGGCAGTGGAAGGACTTATCTAATCATTCAAATTACATCAGCTGAGAAACACGACATTAGCTCGAATGCTGGCCAAAGCATTTCTGCTCAGGTAAAATAACCCGAGCTGGATGTTACTGTCTTCTGAAGCATTAACCACAAAAAAGAAAAAATAATCCCGGGATGTCAGAGGCTGATAGATTTCTCTCTACCTTATTCTTTCCTCCTCGGCCTTCTTCAGTTCGGCATCCCTCCTCATCACCGACATTATCACCCCTTGCTCCTCCTCCGTCAGGTAGCTCAGGTCGATCATGGTGTCTCCTCCTGCTTCTCCCCGCCTGCAGCCAGCTGGGTCTGTCACTGTCATCGTGGGAAAACACAAAATTCCCATTGGACCAACCTTAAAAAAGGTTGTGTCTTTGTTCCATTGTTTTAAAACCTTGTTAATGCCTAGTATGTACCTACGTCAATCAATCATAAGGGTATGAAGGACGTGACAGACCGTCTTTGACTGTTTTCAACAGAAAAGTGACCTAAACCGTGCCGTTCTTTCATAACCACCACAGTGACTTCTGCACAACAAGCCTTTAATTATGTGGCTACGTTTAGTTCCATTTCATTTATAAACATCCGCATGATTTAAATAATAGGTAGATTTCATCAAAGGAAGTATGAGTACAATTTACCAATATCCATTTTGTTCATCAATATACTACCTCAAAATATTTCAGTGGGAAATGTTAAACCACCAAAATCACTTTTGATACTGCGTGTACATCTCTACGTGTTCACAATGTATCACGTGTGCTCCTTTTTGGGTGTTTCTTTCGGTGACTCTTTGTTTACACATGGGGTAAAAAGTTACATAGACTGTCATGGCACGTTTCTGCTTTGTAAAGAAAATGCACATAAAATGTTTTTGTTAGCTGCAGATTCAGAGACAAAAAAAAACAAGCTGTGGGGCACCGCTGGAAAGGGGTCCAAATCTATTCTTATTAATGTATCCATATTTAAAAGTTGTTGCCTATTTTCCCCATTCAATTCATTTTTGATTAATGTTTCTTCTAGTGAAACTTGTTTAAAATATAACCATAACAGTTTGACTTATCTTTATAAAGATTCTAGCATGTTAGACTTAGTTGAATTAGACGACTGACAACTTTTCTGTGTTTATGAGAAAATATCTTAGATGCCTTCAAGTTTTCCTGAAACACGTCAGCGTGTCGCCTACCTTACAGAACGTCTGCGGGTTTGCCGAAAAACGCTCCTGTAACTTCCATCCCGACGTGTCACTGTACAAAGAAACAGGTGGAGTGTGTGTGCAAGTGTTTGCCTCCTCCAAATACTGCTGCAGATATTTGTGTGCTTGGCTCCTCCCGGCAGGAGCTGAGGAGAAGGGATGGACTGTGTGTGTGTTTGGGGGATGGTGGAAGCACCTGACCGCCAGCTTAGAAGTTACACGTTATCTGTGCTGTAATAGCAGATGGCCTCCAGCAGGTGTCCTCAGTTTCAATATGTTGACGTCTCTCTCACACACACACACACACACACACACACATTTGACAAAAGGGTGTGGACGCGGGCAGGCCGGAGGAACCGGAGGTATCAAGAGCTAACATGTTTACAACACGAGTGATGGATTACATCACCACGGAGATGGTCCCAGTGTGAGTCAGCGCTGCTCCGTAGCTTCTAACATCGGCTCACAACTCCGTGGAAACCAGGCTGAAACTGAAGAAGCCTCTCCGGTGACCTACTGGTAAAATGATGCAGCCCATGTAGGATGTCTTTCTAACTGATGCCTTAAGTGTGGATCGGGCTGCTGGTGGATTTAAAAACATGAAGATCATGTTTTCATATATTTTGTGACCCAATAAAATAGTGCCAGTGTATAAAACAGCCGTCCCACGTCATTCCATCGGATGGTTAAAGCCTGAGGTGAGAATTAACAGTGCTTTTATTAGTTGACTGATGATGATTAAATAATAGTCTACTATAAATATTACTGGTTTATAAATGACTAAAACAAATCACTTCCTGCTGCGTGGTGTAAACCCTCTTTGCAGTAACAACTCAATAGATTTAACATTCAACTTGAAAACAAACAATACAACAGTTTGTGGAAGCTGCTCTTTATTTGTAAAAGAAAGAAAAGACGTCAGTCTGCTACACCTTCTAATTACATAAAGAAAATATCTGCAGAGACAAACGCAGAGTATCCTGAATCAAACTTAGGTAGAGTCAAATTTGATTGAATTGCTTTCATATTTCATACATCTTTCACTTTTGTAACTCAAAGAACAGTCAGGTTTTTTTTATTTTTTTTATATGTACACGAAGCACCGATCAACAGTGCTCCTCCACTCAGGTCCTCTGGCTCTTTGTATACAATTAAATTTACATCAAATCTGTGACCCTTTTCCCGTTAGCGTAGCGACAGCGAACCAACAAGCAGATGCACTCTGTTGCCTCGACCACCACCCACCTCCCACCTCCTCCCTCCTCCACCCCCGCCGAGGAACCGTAGCGTGGAAAGATGTGTGCAACATGAAGACAACTCTTCCACATTCAGAGTAAAGGCAGCCTTGAATCCGGCCAGTGAGTCGACGGCATGCCAAGCTTAAAGCAAACGGAGCCCACGCACCCAGAGTGACGCTTCAGATTCGTGGGTGAAGTGTTTTTTTTTTTTCCTTTTTCAAACTAGACAGGAAACCGATCCATTGCAAAAACCAACGAAAAGAACAAAAACAATCCTAGGCACAGAACCGACTATTTACTGGTAACTGACTCGTACTCTAGCCCCTGCACTTTAAGCACAATGGGGATTGTGAAATCTTTCCACTAGTAAAAAAAAAAAAAAAAAAAAAGGTTGAACGCAAAACTGGTAGAATATTTAGTGCTCTATCATTCCGCTTAATAAGTGTAATTTATATAATAGCTATTTTTAAACTCTACCTCTCAATGATAGTCTGAGATCCTTGTTAAATGCTGAAGCACTCCCACAGGTGTTCAATGTACTGTAGCTTTTACATTTTTTTCCTCCCAATCTTAAACAAATAATCATAAATAAATACAAACAACACACAAGGAATGTCTACTGTAAACACTGTAAAAAAGACAAAAACTAAACGGGTGTAAACGCCATTAGCATCACTACTTAGTGACAAGTTAAATAGCTGTAGGGAGTGCGTGACTGATGATCGGATCAAGAAAGGGGGGGGGGGGGCTCTCCTCTTCTCCTTTGCCCTCCTCCCCGCTGGACATCAAGCCTCCACATCCAACCACAGCATTTCCAAACATATAACATCAAAGCTTCTCAGCACCCATACCGATCTTTACAGATGACACTGTCAAATGGATAAGGAATCCTCTTTTGGGGGAGGGGGGGGGTTTAGACAGCAGCATCACTCCACGTCGGACATGTTACAGAATAATAGGTGTGAGCTATCGCCGAACGTCATTTAGACATGGTTACCATGGTTTCGGACAGTCGCTGCACCATTGTGTTCTTGTGTCGGTATTTGTGTGTGTGTGTATGTATGTGTGTGTGTGTGTGTGTGTGTGTGTGTAAGAATGTTTTAGAGTTAGACTGCAACACGAGGACAAAGCTTTGCCGCAAAGAGATCCATCTTCCGAGAGACACTTTTCTTCAAATTACATGAACTGCATCTGCAAGAAAAGGGAACAGTCTCCGTTAACGAAGAGAAGGAAACGGGAGCGCAAATAACGAATGAGTCGATGGACTGTTCGTTAAACTTGCTCATCGGCAGGTTGGGTTTGTTCCCTTTAGGTGTCAGTTGGGCCTCTTTTGCTCATCCTACTTTAAGGACTAACTAGCTCACGCATTGCAATAGCAGGAGAGGAGACGGGACATCAAAATGTTTGAAATTACTATTTAACCGCTTCTGGAAAACGGCGTTATGTTGTCCGGGATTTGGGACGGAAATTCATTTTGAACTTCTAACTTCCTTCAAATTATGCTCATCAGAGCCCCAATTAAAGAATTTGCCTTTTAAAATTGTGACGGCATGAACATTAACCTGAAAATGGTCATCTTTATTGTTAGACACAGCATATGCGCAGTCTGAGAACAAAAAGCTTTCCAGTAACTTTCGAAGGACAGAGCTTAGCGAACAATCAAGTAGTTCATTACAGCAATGGCTATAAGATGCAGGTTTGAACAATCAATGACGGCGGTGGAAGACAAGAGGGTCAGAATGAGGCGGTCTATGTTAAACGATGCAGCAAATCTGTCAAAACAAGCACGGAATCCACAGTCAAAATGAAACTGAAAAGATGAGAAATACACGGCATCTAATTAGATGAGAGGGGATCAAGTATGGAAAGGCAGGAAAAAAAAAAAACAGAGGGTGTTAGCACTGGCCATGGAACACATGCAGGTGCGCCCGCTAGCAGAGAGCATGCTGTACCTAAAGAGATGCTCTACAAGAAATCCTTGAGAGAGAGGTGTGCAAACGGGTCCTGTCCAGGGGCTCGGAGAGGACTCTGGCTGGAAGGACTAGAGGCTGCGGAGGGCTATTTCAGGAAGAAATACAGGAAGTAGGAGGACCAGAGGACAAGTCAGACAGTCAGTACAGAGACTGAAGGAGGGCGCAGATTAGTTTGGAGAGGCTGTGGCGTATGGAAGAAAGGTGGATGGGTTGGGGAGGAAACCCGGGAGTTAAGACAAGGGAGATGATTCACAGTTTTTCCCCCTTTCAGCTCGGCAGAGTGACGGGTCCATTGGTTTAAAACTGCCATCATCTTCAGCCGTTTTCACACACACTACAACGCTCACACAGTGACTAATCATGGCGCACGTCACAGCACAATGGATACACCTATTTACCCAACCTGATAACTAAGCAAATAGATACTGACTTCATTGTGCATCCGCTCGGTGGCGTGGTCAGACGGCCGTGCACCCACCTGAGCACTAGACACGGAGCCAAAGGGGTTGGGTGGCCTCATCACAGGCTGGGAGTACATCATGGTGGGCGGATTCATCATCCCCATTGAGCCCATTTGTGGAGGCTGCAGCATGTCGCACAGAGATGAGACGTCATTTCATGTGGTGGTGGATTTAACACAATTGCTTTACAAATGTGAAGCCGCCATGTCTTGCATTTATGTGTAATGATTATTTTCATCATCATTAAATATTGTTAAGAGGCAGATTGTTTGTGGGATTTACTGATTCATCGTTTGGCCTGTAACATGTCGGGCAACAGGGAGAATTTCTCAGTAGTCCAATATAACATCTAATTTGCTATATTTGTCCAAAACTCAACGGGTTCGTTGTATTAAAACGGATGTCTGAGGAATACAGCCTAATTTGTGAATTAGTCAAACTTGTTTGAATTTCAGCAGTATCTGAATTTGGAATTATTTATTGCCCACTAGGGGGCAACAAACTCAAACATTTTTACTCAAAGTCTCAATTCCTCACATTATGGTTTTCAATAATCATAAATAATAGTATCAAGACTAGCACTGATTATTTAGCTTACACAAGTAGATTTTAAAATTAAAATATATATAAGACAAACAAATATGTAAATCAAGAGATAAAAACTATTGAGAATCCTCAACCTTTTGTTTTACAAATGAAACCTTTTACGTTTTGATCTGATATGCACCGTTTTAGCAACAACCATAACGTAATATTCACGTTATTTTTTTTCCAAAACAGATTAGGACTGAACATGAGCTACATTTGTCATCATACTGACCATGCCATATCCCATCATGCCGGTGGGTGTGGTAGCAGGGAAGGCCATGACTGACGACGGCTGAGGAGACACAAGCGGGCCAATGAGAACACAAATGACCTCTACAACAACGGCAAAGCAGCAAACCCTCCCTGCGTCTGCAATCATTTGACTGTAACTTTAGACAGAAATATAGCGGGAGCAGAAATGGTGAGCACTGCGGTTAGAGATCTGTGTGTCACCATGGAAACGGGGTTCCAGGTCGTGGACGGCGCCGCTTTGGGCTGCCAGTTGGTGCCGCCGGTCATCCTCTTCTCTCCCGGCTGGCTCCAGTGCATGTCACTGCAGATTAAGACAGTTGGTGTTAGCACCAGCTTGCGACTGCCCTGAAAGCACAAAGCTGCTGCTGTTGCTGCTGTGCAGTAGTGTGCGTGCATTTTAAAGCCGCTGAGCACATGCGCATCTCTTACTTTTTCATAGTGCCGTTCCCAATGCCGAGGTCTAAAAGAAGGAAAGACAATTTCTAGGTGTTATCTGCCCATCTGCAAAGGTTTGGTTATTTTTTAATAAACATGCATTTTCATTTTCGCAGCTGAAGGGCACAGGCATCGGACTCACTGCCGACAAGGTTGGCCAGGGAGGAGTCAAGGTCGTCTGACACCAGCTTGTCTGGCAGCTGACCGGAAGCCTGGTTGGAGCCGGCAAAAGTCGGTTTCAGGATGCCTCCAGAAATATCTAAATAAGGGAAACCGAGAACGTCAGAAACGATGAAAATATGTCCTAGACAGAGTTTGGTGTGCTTCATTGTTATGAATATCATGTATTTTGAATAGCAGTGCGGAGGTTAAAAAAAAAATCTGCTTTAATAAGTTAAGTGGTCTCATGTTCCTTCTTCCAGACTGCTCTTTTGTTAAAACCCCCAAACATCTCTCAGCTCAAAAGTGGCAGAATGCTATTCTCTCTTTTACTCTTAGATTACATTAACTTGGCTTTTGTCCAACATGACTTACAGTGAGTGCATTTAAAATCAGGGGGGAACAGGAGCTACAGGTTACAAAAACAAGAGTGCTTAAGGTGGGGGGGGGTAATCTATTTTTTAGGACTGGCCTTTGATGAATCATTTGCAGACCGCAGATATCACCTTCACTGCACTTACACACAGATAATGATGCACATGTATTGCATATCACCTATATGTAAATACAAAATAGTCACCATCCAAATTGAGGCTGTTGCTGCCTGTGGCTTTGGCCCCAAAAACGGACTCAAAGTCCACTTGGAGTCCCCCCGCTGACTGCTGAGCAGGGGCCTGTGTCGTCGAGTATCCTTCATCAGAGTAGGGAGAGAAGAAAGTTGCAAATGTTACACAAGGTCATAACTGACCGACGTTTGGACTTTTGGTTTCTGCCCGGGCCCCCTCGTAAGTACAGTGTCTATTAATCAATACCCTGGTTAATTAAAACAGAGAGCAGAGTGCCACCGCTTTCTTTACAGAGCAGAAAACCAGCATGGATTTACTGCTGAATGGGCTGCAGAGCCTTCAGTACCTCTGAATAGACCTGCTACAGCAGAGGGCTCAGTGGGGAAGGGAGCCTGGTGGGAGAGGTGCTGAGCAATGGACACTGGACCACAGAAGGAGTCTGACACGCAGACACAGGAAGCAGGATGAGCAAGACAAAGAGGAAGAAAGAGCAAAACGGAAAAAGGCATTTCAAGACCGAGCCAGAGTGACAAGTTGGAAATGACAGAAATACAGGCAGCAAGAAGACAGCTATTTTTCGCGGTTTGTAAAATTGTGTGTTGTTCCAAGTCACACGTAAAAGGATAAAATGGTGCAGAACAGCATTGTAGAAACTAAAAAGGGGTTAAAGGAATAGTTTGACATTTGGGGGGAAATACGTAATGGCTTCCTTTCTGAGAGTTTGACGAGAAGAAGGAGACCAGACAGCAGCAGCTAGTTAGCTTAGCATAGCTGTTTGAATGTATGGCAACGGTTTTCAAACATAAAAATGCACGCATACCAATAAATAAAAGATTACATAATTTTTGGTTTCTGTATTATTACAGATATTTGTGTTCTAACAGAAAAAAAAATGGAGAGCAGTGTTCTGAAGCTTCTCCGCCAACTCGAGGCAAGACAGCAAATAATGTCCAAAATGTCAAAATGTTCCTTTCTAATAGTTTACGACCACATTTCCACTATGCATGGGTGTATTGCATAGGATCCTATGTTTGCCAGGGATCAGGAAACATAGGCTGAGATGGTGAGCCATCATAGTACCTGATATGGAGTGTTCTATCCGCACTGTGCGTTTGTAATTGGTTGAAACGGATGAGTTTGTGTCAATAAAGGGATTGTAACGATCTGGAGAATCAAAAATAAGGTTGGTAAAAGTAGAACAGGTATCAACGTAAAACAATCTACGAACATAATTGAAAGAGAGGACAAACTAAAGAAGCAATGGTTTTATGTACTCTATAGTGGGACATGGAGGGCCCTGGGTGGTAAATTAATGGGGGTTCTCACAAAAAAAAAAAAGATTTCAGCATGGTATGAACTGCAATGAGGCTTATTGTACAGACAAAGAAGATCATCTAGAGATTTGCACAAACAGATAATCAACATGCTGCACAGTCAACATGCAAACTAGTCATAAGTGAGAGAAATGAACAAGTGTGACAAGACTTTTGAGGAGAAACAAAATGAGTCGTTACCACCAAACATTTCATGACCGGAAGTCCTAGAGGAAAAGCTAACACCGTCTGAAGACACGACAGGTAAGTGAGTGGCATCGACAACGAGTTTTGAGAGGAAAGGGTTAAGGTTTGGCATGGATTCGTCTCCAGCTTCAGCAGAGGTGAAAGGATCTAGGCAGGCGGAGGAGAGAGAGAGAGAGAGAGACAAAGAAAAGGGACATAGACAGAAAAATAGTGGAGAGGAAAAGGTGGGCATCAGAGTCAGACAGCAACAAGAGAAGGAGAGCATGCAGAAAACGGTCCAGAAACACAGATGGTGACTGGAAGCGTTGGAGAGGCCACTCTTTACCTGCCCACGTCGTTGCAACTGGAAGCCCTGTTGAGCCGGACTGCATGGAGGGCTGAAAGGTTGACTGCAGGTCAAAAAGGTCGCTCTCCATCTTCACAGCACTGCAGACAAAGAAAAAAAGCCAGCCATTATTATACTCATTTTACAACCACAGACTTTTTTCTTTTCTTCAAAAGCCTGAAAATAAATCGAGAGTTAACTGGTTACAGTTATGATTTGGAGGAAGTAACTCCAGTAAGTCTTTGAAGTTAAACGGTAAAAGAAAAAAGACTGTTCAGCTACTACTAACAGCGGTTAGCTGCTACTAACAAAGCACAACGGAGGAGAACATAATAAAATGAAATTGTTATGGTTTCCTGTCACTTTCTGCTGCTTCCTCTTTACGTCGCTGTGTGCCGCAGAGACTTTAGAGCGCTATTGTCTCCAGGGCGCCTACACGGTTACCAGAGCAACCCGAGGCAGAAAAGTTGGTAATGTCTGAACAGACGAATCGGATCTGATCGCTCGATAACGGTGCAGACAGTCAGTCTTGAAGATCTAAAAAGCCAATCGGATTCGCCTGCAGTCTGAACAGACGCTGACATGCATTCAGACAGTAAAACGGTTTAAATGTAGGTGTCCTTTTTGCCTGTTTAAATTGCAAACTTTAACAATACTTTTAAACAACTCCTCTTTTGACGCAGAGTTTTTGAGCTCTGGTTTTCAGACAACGTAAAAAAAATAACTTTTCAAACTTTAAAGCAGCAACCAGGTCCTTACAAGACTGAATAAAAAGCAGCATGAGTTAAAAAAAAATAAAAATAAAGGGTTGCATTACTAGAGGGGCTCGTACCCGTTGGAGCAGCTGGGTGTAGAGAAGAGGTCGATGGCTGCTGTGGTGCTGATAGGACCACCTGTGGTAGAGATCGGCGACGTGTCCGTGGTAGCGAAGGAGGGCCTCTTGGAGAGCTCTTTGAGCCGCTGTTCCTGAGTGAAAGATAAAACTAGTTCAAACATACAAGCAATACCACGGCATCTTTAAATCGGCAGCCTCTTCGGATAAAACAAGCAAAGCCACCTTCAGAGCTTTGAGTCGAGCCTGTTCCTCCTCGAGAGCTGCCTGCTTCTCCCGCTCATCCACTTTAGTGAAAGACATCCCCGTGCTGGCCAGTGATGACACTGCGTTGGACAGAGTGCTGGCCCTGCAGGAGAGACACAAATTCACTCTGGATTGATTTATCCAGCTCATTGGATTCATTATTACAGCTTATACATAGATACATCTAGTACATCTTATTCCGTCCTGTTTATCCGTTTGTGTGCCCTTGTCACATATTAGTTTACCGTTTAGATTTGTCTTATCAGCTTGTCATTGCTTGACTGATCTATGCAACACGATCTAATAAAATGTTAAAACATGCAGCGGTAAAAATGGAAAGGCAGCCTCTGAGATTCGAGGAAAAGATGAGCGGAACTGAGGAATAGTGACGGTAGGATTGACATACCTGCTGGCCGCGGTTGAGTCTTTGACCTTTTTGCCCTCTAAAGAGGCCAAATGCTGCTCCAGAGCTTCGAGAAGGCTACTGGGAGCCTGCCGTGACAGAAAACACACAGTCAGCTACTCCCTGAGACGCAGCACATTGTAGTCTGCATGGAAACCAAAACCATTAAGGACAGTGGTGGGGAACCGGGACAGCAGAAATCCCAACGCACTATGAAATGAACCAAAATGATGTTTGTCAATAGGAGGCCACATGTTGCTCCTAGCAGTTAAACCAGTTTTGGATGATCAGTTGCCCACCACTGATGGATTACTGCATTGCATTCCAGCCAAAAGAACTACGTTGGATGAGAGCAACATCTGTGTGGGATGACGTACTGCACCACGGGGGCGTCAACAACCCGGGCGGTGTTGAATCGGCCCCGTCTAAGCACAACGGGGGAAGCCACTTCACAGGAGATGAGCTACACTGGTTCACACCGCGATGACGTGACCAAAGTGATCAGAGTTTACCACAGCGAGTATTTTCACCGATGTGTAGGAGACAAGAGTGAGAAGCATGCCGAAAGACAACACTGAAGCCAGTCACGGACATAGAGGAAGAGTGAAATGATAGTACTTACACAAACTGTGAACTAAAGTGGAGAGATAAGGGGAAAATACAGAATATAAAGGTGGTGACAGTCAGAGGGGTGGAGGGGGGGGGTGTTTTAGTTGAGGTTCTCCGGGGTTAAATGTTTCTGTTCCCCACAGCACAACACGACAGTGTGTGAATATCTAACTGTCACTGTGACGATTAACTGGGTCAAAAACACTCAGCACCTTTATTTACTGTAGAAGTGGGGAAGGTAAAGAAGAAAAGCAGAAGAAGAGACAAGAGAAGAAGACCAACCACCTCCTCTGGCGGACATGCGCTCGAGAAGGAAACCATGCAGTGTCTTGCTTAAAAGAACATTTGTGTATGGTGAGCAACCCTCTAGTCCGTTAAAGACAACTCATGGATAAAAGAGAAATTAGAGCTGGAGACAAGAGAAAGCGGGACGACCTGTGATTTCATACTGCTCACCTGTGACAAGTCTGGAATGTCCCCTCGGTCGATGCCCACCTGCTGTTGTACGAACAAAGAAAACCACGTTACAATCTGGTTTCTGCGGCGTTAATTAGTGACAGCAGGAAGGTCTGGTAGAGACGGCGAACACGCGGCACAATATACCTCGGCTACTTTGAGAAACTCTGATATCCGGGTCATTCGGGTGAGAAACTTCTTGTAAATGTCCAAACCTTCTTTACACTGAGTCTTCTTCATGTCAAAGTATTTCTCTATTGGGTGAAACACAAAGAAATTGGAAAGACCAACCACAAAATACCGGGCCAAAACCAACCGGAGAGAAAGAGAAGGTTTCTTACCAAGCAGGTTGATAATGCCTTCATTATAAGCAGCGAAGAGCGTGATGGAGTCTTTGAACAGGAGCATGAAGGCGGCATTGATGACTCCATTAGTCAGCTCGTTGGCATTGACCTGAGGGAAAGCAATCGTTCATCATTCACAGCTACTCCACGCTTTGTGGACGTAGAGAAACGAAAACTGGGAACTATGTGCCTCAGAACAGGCGGCTTTTTAGCACACGAGCTGCAGCGCGGCGGGGCGCTTCACCTCAAACTCACATTGAAATCGAGGAGCGCGTCCATCTGGTTCTGAATAATGGGGATAGTCTTGAGCAGCTTCTCTGTATTCATGGTCCTCATTACGCCGTCCACTCTGCGTGGACGCACAGGGAGTCGGAGCAGCAGCAGAGGCCACCGGGGAGGGGCGGGGGGGGGAATCAGAGAGACGGATGAGCACGCGGCGCAGCTCTTAACACAGGATAACAGACTTTACATAATGACAAAGAACAGAGCCAGAGCCTCACATCTGACGAGATGAGCAGCATTTCTGCTTAATTAAATGGCCACGGTTGTTTGATGCATGAAATAGTTTCCCATTTTTATTTTTCTATATAAATTGTTGCAGCTCTGATCAAATTAACTTTTTTACTGTAAATAAAAACAAAATTTGACAGAATTCTTTGAATTTAAAATGATACATTTCAGTATCTTTTACACAATGATTTAATCAGGCCAACAGGTTTAAGAAACCAATAAACCTTGAAGGCATTTAATTGAAGTGAAAAGGCTGTTGCCTGCCTCTTTGACTGAAACTATAACCATTTAATAACCGTAAGCTCTGAGAAATATTAACTGTTTAAATTAACAGTTTTCCAGACTAAATAATTAGTTGATGAATTAATAAAACTACGATTTTTTTCAAATGAATAAAGGGGAATACATACGTTTAATACTGTATAATGATAATAATCACAATAATAATATAATAACACCTTACCCGCGTTTAACTTTTGTGAAGTCAAATGCAACCTGTCTGTACGAAACGGCTTTCTCGTTCAGGTATCGACTGTACCTCCTGATAAACGTGGACATGTCATAACCTGCAATGGAAAACGGCAGATTAACGTCTTTACATTGCGCTTGAACTCATAAGGATTTGGAACGGCCATGAAATGGTTACCTTGTAACCCACTTTTGTCCAAAAAGTTACTGAGGTTGAATAGTGTATTCCTAGAAGCCAAGTACTGAACAAAACGCTGAAAGAGAATAACAAGGAAATGGTCAACACCAGATTTTTAGCTCCACATTGAGGCCTAGATGATGTGCTGGTGTGTGCTGAAGCGTCTCACCTCGTTGCCATAGACCATGAGGTGGTGTGTGGTGATCAGAGACTTAAACACAACCACCCAGCTGGTGTTGGTGGTCCTCTCAAACAGCGAGTCGGCCAGTTGGGGAATGTTCACGTTCATCTCGTTGGTGCAATGGATCAAATCTGCAGCAAACGAAAAAGTGAATGAGATCGCGAGGTTCAGCTGATCTCCACCAGAGCGGGTGGGATTTGGAATAATTGAGCAAAATACATTTTGGAATTGTCCTTGAGTGCAACAGAAACCCCATCAAAACATCAAGCCCAGCCAGCATCAGGCAAGGCTCACAAAAGACCACCAAAGACAAACAACCGCCCAGTCACCAATCAACCGAACCCCCCCAAAGCACGTCTTTGGACTGTGGGGGGAAGCTGGAGTAAGAACCCAAGAAGATACGGGCAGAACATGCAAACTCCACACGGAGTGTCCAGACCGTCTTGCTGTGAGGCGACAGCCTCTAACCGCTAACCCCCACCTACACCACCGTGCCGGCCACAGTAGGAACAATTAGTTGATTAACTGAAGTAAATTAACTAAACGCTTATAAAAATGTGTGAATGCCGCTTTTCTCCCTTTTATACACCTGTAAACTAAATATCTTACAAATCAAACTTCTAATTATAGAATGTAAACTCATGTTATAAATCCCCAAAATGTATCCAATATTGATGCAGTGCAGACATGACTTCACTGGTCCCAAAGGAGGCTTTAACCACCCCGTTGCAGTTTTATCTCACATTCCCTAGTTAAAAACAAACTACACTTAACTACACCATATATTTTAGTCAAAATGACACAATTATTCTACTCCAAGCAAAACGCCACCACGGTGATGTCACATGACATTAGCATATTAAAAAGTAAATCACCATCAAGGCAATCAAAGATTCTATGCAGCACGACTCGATACAGAGATCATTCATTTGAATTGTTGAAGGCAACAAGCAAAGCTTTCGACAGCGCAAGGAAATTACGGCGAACCTGGAAGTTTCTTCCCCACTTCCACTGCCAACGTGCTCATTCCGTGCAGCCGGAGTGAGCACGTTAGCCGAGGCGCTAACGATCGGGCCATTCACGGCGCCGATCAGACCGACGGAGGTAATTGGGACTCCTCTTCTGTCCTATATTTTGACTTCTCGAAAGGCGGGGGACTTTAAGTAGGCCAGGACAACCTTCCACAGAAGCAGCGGCAGTTAGTAGATCGACTGCCCAGAGAAGATGACGGGAGAGGGGTGGGAGGAGGAGGAGTATGGGGGTGAAGACTACACTGACACCTCAGTCATGTTACAATCACCCTGCTAAATATTCACAGTGGTTCGTTAGTGATTCGTAATCGGATTTATTTGTGGGACACAAATGTGTCAGCGTGTCGATCACCATCCAGGCTGGTTTTGATGGGGGCTGTTAATAAGTCACAATGAATCAAGGATATTATATTTCCTTAAACATTTTTAAAAAAATCTATCAGATATAGGACACGTGTGAAATGTAAAGAACTGTATTTCACGGCACAGCGTTAAGACGAAGCGCTTCACGTGCAAAACAGAAAACATGAAGAAACTTTCCTTGTCTCGTTTTTTTTCCAAATGATTTATTAAGGTATTATTTCTAAAAAAACGACTACTGTAGTATGATCATAATGTCATGAGATTACTCCAATCTTAAATAAATAAGTAAAATGTAGAATCATACATATATTATATACATATACGTAATATGTTTGGTGACAAAATGCATCTTTAGTCTCTGGAAAGGAGGACTAGTAAAGTAAAACTGTTAAACAACTTTTGTTTAACAGAACTTGTGTATTTTGTTGAATAGATTTTTTTTTAAATAACAGTTTCCAAAGTCCAGTAACATTAAGATTTGTTTGTATGTATACGTATTGTTATCAATATCAAAATTCAAAAACAAGTCAGGTAATAGTCATTTTTCAAGCCTTTTTTCTTGACCAATATTCCACAGTTCCAACTTCTTAAATCTGGAGGATTGAGGTAGCAGGCCATCAGCTCAACAACGTTTACATTTGAGAGTATAAATAGATGCTCATTTCTCGGACTATATTGATTTTCAGTCAAGATTTTTCCATTCCCGAAGAAGTATTGTACAACTGCTTGTGTTTAGACAACATTTTACATATCAGAGTGTTTGCTTCTTTTGTTCAATGAAAGGTTTTATTTTTTATTTTCCTAAAGTATGATGACAAAAGGACAGTAATGTGTTTGTTATATTGGCACGAATATCAAAACATTCCAAAGTCTTGGAATTATAAGAAAGCATAAACAGTCCAACTGATTATGCTTTCTTATAATTCCAATACTTTCAGAAAGCTCTGGTTGCTCTAAATCTCACTCTTCATTTACAGTAATCTCTCTAGTGTCTACTCTCTAATAAGAGTCAGAAAATTGCCAGAAATACAAACAAAAAAAAAAAACATTTATTGTTCTCGGTCGGAAGGGGACATGAGCAAAACAAAGCTGACATAAATAACCCATCTAACAAACCACCCAGCCTCCATTGTAAAACATAAAAGCGGAGGGCTCTGTTATTATCTCTGTACATACACTCTCTGTTCCGTTATGCACGGAGACTCTGTCACATTGGATGGCTGGCTGGTTTGCGATGAGCCCAAAGAGGGTCACTCTGCAAACTTTCACTCATCTCATCTCAGGGGGGGAAATCGCCCGAGTAGCACAACAGGTGTAGAACCTGCAACTTTTGACACAAAACCAAAATTTGCACCACGAGTTACCATTATCCCTACTCAAGAAATCAAGTACTTCCACCACAATGAGCATCTGTTTCCTGGACTTGAATCAAACTGTTATGATGACGCAGTGCCTTCATAGAAGACAAAAAAAAATAATTCATTGCTGCAATCATGCCTTTGAAAAGGCCGATCGAAGAGCAGAACATTGACCACAGCATCTATAAAGATGATCACACAAGGGTTTAATCCCTTATGCTTACGTCAGGGTACCTGCAGAAGTGTGTTGGAGGGAAGCAAAACTCAGACATCAGCCACGAACTGTGATTTATGTCGCGCGTTTGTGTGTGTGTGTGTGTGTGTGTGTGTGTGTGTGTGTGTGTATGTGTGTGTGTGTGTATGTGTGTGTGTGTGTGTAGCATTTGACCCCACCATGACGAACAGCGGGTTATCAGTTACTCCATCACTACAGCTGAAGCTGACGCTTGTCCTGCTGCAGGTGCACCGAGATGGGAGCTGCAATCACATTCCTGTAAACGTACATTTCAGGGCCTGTGGGAGGCCTGTCTGCTAGCACTGATTTAAAAAAGGTTTAACGAAAGTGTTTGGTAATGCTGAAGTAAACGCGTATCCTGACATGTTGCTATGTGGGATAATCATTCAAACCCCTTAAACCGATGAGTAGAAGTGACCACGGCAGGATGGGGGGGGAAGAGAGCCAAAACCAGACAGCTAGACATGCTAGATAGATTATGTATCACCCCCAGCAAAACGGAAATAAAACAAATAACCCTCATTAAAGTGAGCGCCTCGTAGCCGCGGCTAGCACCATGTCAACAAGGCCTGGGCCCGATGTTCTAACAGTACAAGTAGCGTTAGCATGTAGCCTCCCGTGAGGCTTTGAGGCCTTGTAGCCGCTCCAACGGCTACAGCTCAGCTAACGCGGAGCTCTCGCTCCGGATTTGTTTCACCGCTCGTGTGCTATGTTTATTTTATTAAACATTTCAGAAAAAAAGAGGATACTCACAATCCAAATGTTTCTTTTTCGGGCCCATTACTTCGTGAGTGGTGGCCTTGCATACTGTTTTGGAGACGGCGGATCCCGTTACACTGTGCTGGGCTGCGGTTATCCTGTCAGTAATGCTCTGCCCCGACATCTTCTCTCACCTCAGCGCAACAAAAGACTTTTAACAAATATAGTCTGGCTTTTATCTTCGGGAGTGGGAGGCTTTTTTTTTTAGAAAAAGTAAAGAAAACCTCCTCCTCGTCCGCAACCTTGTCGGACCCCCACCTCCACCTTTTCCCCACCTTAGTGGAAATAAAAATATATATATATTTAAAGAAAAAAAAACTAGGCTATGGCAGACGCGGACCGGGGGAGGGCGGAAATAAAGAGAAGCGGAATCCAACAACACCAATCAAGGTAAAATGTCGGGTTGTTTCGGCTTTGTGGCGCCGCCCGTCTCCGTTAGTCAGATTTCGGGGCGGTCGTGATTGCGGAGTCCACTCGCTGACTCATCCGACCCGGGTCTGCGTCTCGCTCTCATCCCGATGTGGCACACCGGATCCCTGCGTCTCTCCTCCTGCTCGCCGCCACCGCTCCTCCACCTCCTCCTCCGAGTCCTCCTCCACCTTCTCCTCCTCCTCCCGCCGCCGCTGCTCCGCTGCTTTAAAGCGCTGTGAAAGGGCAATCAAAAAAAAAAACCCGACCACGGAGGAGGGTAAATGGCGGGACTACGGTGCTCAGCTCTCTCGGGTGGACAAATAAAAAAGAAGCCCGGGTACAGAACACGCTCCAGCCGGAGGCCAAATCAGATGTAACGCCGCGGAGCTCCGCTTGAGTCCGTCGCGGTGCAGGTGTACACAAACTGACCGCAGGCCAGCTGGAGGGAGGAGGGGGGAGGAGGGAGGGGGGGGGGGTAGGCTCAGTCACAGAAGCGCTGGAGGCCCCGGATGAGAGGATGGCGCCTGTATTGATTTGAGGGGTGGACACACCGACGTCCAGGCAGGCTGCAGCCTGGGGGGTTTTAACTGACTGTCACGGAGCTGTTGATTTGGAGCGTAAAATCCCCGTAATAATACTGTAATAAAGTCTCTAAATAAATACAGATTTGACATGTTTTGCAGCCTTGTTTCCGGAGCTGCGCCCACATCCCGGGATGACACTAATCCAATGAAAAATAATACAATTAAAGGGTGTATTGTGCTATTGTTGTGTGCAACAAGTATTTTCCAGGAGAATAACGTTTAATAGTATTTCAGACTAAGTGGACGATGTCTATACTTCTTTTTTCAAAATGTTTCCACAAATAATGTTTATAATTTCAGATAATGTTTATTATTTCAGGTGCCTAATGTTGAACAGAAATGAAACTGTGGTCTGCCAGGACAGACGTTTATAGGCATTGATTTACTGTTAATATATGTCAATTATTCCAACACATCTGGATAAAACAGTCCGTAAGTTAAAAAAAAGAGAAATTGGAGGCAGAGCAGTGTGAGTTAAAATTGTAATGAAAGCATTAATTTAGTGCTCTCTGAATGTATTCTTTCACATAAGATTCATTCTGTTTTCAGAAACATTATTATTATTATTTATTATTATCATTGATGCATCAACATTGTAAGTACTATCTAAGATAATACATTATAATGTATGCGTTGATTAAATATTGTTTTTTTCTAAATGTGAGTCTGTTAGGCTGTTAGGGCTTCAGCAGTGTGACACAGTGAGCACAGGAGGGCAGCATTGTGCCACGATCACCTCCAAACAGGCAAGCGTGTCATTCTGCTCACTTAAGTTCAATGTGGAGCAGATCAAATCTCACCTATTAATTAAACTGACTCTCACTCATTTAGAAAACATTCAGTGGGAGAGATTGTACACAAAATAATCCAGTCAAGAATTAACAATTCAAAAAAACGCCAGCTCTTCCTTTGAATTTCCCCAACAACTTTATTTTCCGGCTTCATTATTAAAATAAACCAAATCCAGTTTTTGCTTTATATATTCAATGTATTTAATGTAATGCTGTGTTCCTTCTGAAGGTCATGTTGAAGGAAAAAAAGTGTTCTTCATTTGTTGTTCTCTTATTTCTTGGGCTGAGCCTCATACATAAACAACAAGTCAGTCTGTTGTTTTCTCGCCTCACCTGGGAATTTTTGCGAGTTTCCAGCCCTGCAAACGATGTACACAGAGATAATCTCTGTCTGTATTTTTTTTCCTATCTCATGAGAAATCCCCTTGAGAAAAAAACCCCCATTCTTATAATGGTGTGCATCTAATAATCGCACCACAGTTGTACGATCAACCGCAAAAACAAACCATCTTATACATGAGTTTTCTAGCTTTTGAAGACATTAATGGAGGATCAAGTTGCAGTGCGGTCGATGATGATTCCTACCAGTGTTAAAACTGGAACGTCACATTACAACATTCTCACAGGAGATGAAAATTACTGCTAATAAAATCAACATGATAAACAAAACATTCAGACTTAGATGTGCAAATATTTTTCCCAGAACAACAAGTGCAGGATTTCACCTTATAACTTAAAGAAAAGTCATGTAACTAAAACACAAGTACAAAAGTTCACTAAATATGTAATTTGCCGGGTGGGATGTGTAAAATAAACAGGATCACCATATGTTTTCATTTCACGTATTTTGCATATACGGACATCTGATCTTGTTTGCTCTGAATGGCACCTGTCTGACTGGAAGCGTTTCATATTTGATTTCAGCCCCGACTCGATAGCAGTGAGTAGCAAACATCTGCAGCCAGCTGTGTTTCTCAGGGATCCGGAAGGGCCACGAGGCATCTGTTTGGCAGATCGGTTTCTGAGGTGGTTCAGAGCGTGTGACACGCATGAGATTGTATTTTGGGTAAAAAGGGAACAACAATCCAAGCATAAACTTTTCCTGTGTGCTCTTATTTTTTAAATGAACACATATAAACTGATGCAACATTTCAGCACAGATGCGCGTGGAGCCCCAGGGCAAATGAGCTGAGGGCTTCCCATACACACACAAAAAATCCCCTAAACATTTTATGCCTGGAGACCCTAAAAATTACCATTATTTACCAACAACGTTTAGACTTGTCATATTGTGAAATGCACAAGCACTGAAGACGGAATCAATTTATTAAAGCATCCTAGTAAGCAAATTACTATAATAAGTTTCCCCTTTACATTTGTATTTTACTTGCAATATTTAAAGGAGCAGTGTGTGGGATTTAGTGGTTACGCTCAGCCCACCTGGTCCCATCATGTTGAGAAACCACAGTGGCTTTCCTGTAATGTAAAAACATAAAAATACCTTAATGGGCTTTGGGTTGTCCGTTGTGGGCGGATGGCGGCACAACTTGGCGGAGCACCTTGTGTAGAGGAATTAATTGATTAACCGCAATCTAATCCTAACCTGGACAAAGCATTGTCCACTAATGACTCCACAGCTATCGGATTGTCAGGATGTAATCCTCACTGTTGAGAAAACCAAACACCACTGCTGAACACATAGTGACCATGGTGAAAAGTCACTGATTGACAAGGCTAATCAATGCCTGCACCAAATGTCAGGGCAACGTGTCCAGCATTTGTAGTTTTTACTCTGAACAAATCTAAACTGTTTGCCGAATTGAATTTTTTAATCACTTTTAAATAGACAAAAGCTATAGCCTCTTAAAGGCATTACAGGTCTTTTGTTTTTCAAGTGCATTTTACCAACCTTTAGGTAATTAAATCAGTTAACACAACGTATTTGTCACCTAGACAGCCTCGGGACTTGAGGAAGATGCCTATTTAGCTTGTTTTTTAATTCTGCCATGTTCCTGCAGATGCGTTTGACTTTACGTGTTTTGAGAAAGTGCAATTCACCGCAAACCAGACATGCACCCATAACTGGCCACCAATACATGCTGTCGAGTTTGCTGCAGCAGAATGCATGATTAGCAGTGGACAAAACCAGATGTTTACACTCGCTGAGTCACAGGCGAACAGAGTCACACACATGGCTGAGCACAAAGCCTCTGCCCAGGCTTACACCTGGTGGAGATAACAGGACAATAAATGCACTATTTACTCTTCATTTCAATTTCACATCAATTTCAGTGCCCAGCAGTTTTCGGTGACTGTTTTTTTAAAATTGTATGTCTTCAGTTGGAACCAATGCTGTTGGAATCAGGAACACAAATTGCATAGTCAAGTTGTGAAGGTGGTTCTGGTCGTTTTGTGGTATTTATTGAGCAAAAGAAAGATCAGTTATTTCTTCTAATAACAGTTTAATAACTTTTGTTTGGTCGACGGCAGTAGGATAAACGGTGAAGCAAACAAATAATAACACACACAGTACCGCTTTTACCTTCTGCACCGCTGAATACACCACTGAATGCCTCTGCTCTAAGTGATGCCTTGCGCCTCACAATCACCCACACACAGCCCTGCATCAGACCGTGAGTTGACTTTTATGTTCATGTGAATGTAGGCCACAGCAGCAGCCGATGACAGCTTAATTCAAGGGCTCAGCCCCTCCTGCTGAGGCCCACCGTTTGTGTGAGCTGACAGACGAGGATCAGGCCGAGGAGAGACGAGTGGGAACCCTCCGAGTGCGCTCGGGTTTCTGGGCGCTGTGAAAAGATTTGTCCGGGCCATTCAGATCTGATGGAGTTTCCCATGTTCTGCACAAGCGTTGGGATAATGAGTCCCTCTATCTATCTCATCTGTGCACACTAAACAGATACGCGTAAGGCTGATGTTGGGTTGGGTCCGAGTCCCCGATGCCTCCAAAAACTCTGGCCCTCAGTGTTGAACTTTTCTCTCGTCACATGCCAGGGGATGAGGGGGGCCATCCAATTACTTTGGGAAAGGCAGGAAACAGGTAAACAGTTGCAGAAAAAAAAAACAGAGCGGTGGGGGTGAAACGAGTTCGAAAGAAGGGTGACCTCAGTTTGAAAGGGGTTGGGTAATAGGGGTTTGAGCCGACATGAGCCCCTGAGGTAAAAGGGGGGCAGAGGGAGCAGGATAAGAAGGATCAAGGGACCTGGGGAAAGAAGGTTGTACTCCTTTGATAGAGGGCAGAGCGTGTGGCAGTCGAGCAAACAGGCAAAACTTTTGGGGGAATTGTTTTTTAACATCTAATCTTGAGATAGGGGCCATTTTTTAACACGCAATTGAGTAATGAGGTTAATGCAATGTTGACCTACTGAAGATGAAACAGGGCAAACCTCTCTCAGGTGCCGAAATGGTGCCACAGTTGGGCTTTTTCTTCCTGCTGATGAGCAACGCCGCCTCGGTCTCCACACAGTTTAACGGATACAACTGTGACGCCAGCTACCACAGCAGGTTTCCTGGTGAGAATACTTCCACATAATATCTTTTTTCTTCCCGGTACAGACAATCTTCTGCCTAGAGGTGTGAAACACGTTAATGCATGGAAATTTACACTTTAGAACACACCACAATAGTCGATTTAGGATTTAATTGTTAGGATTGTTTTATATTTGTCTTATTTATACGATTTTAAAACGTTTAAAGTTGCTTAATGATATGTGGTATGCTATAGGACATGATCACACACACAATCAGGGGTGTCGGTGTGATGCAAACCGTTAACTTTTGCATATAGAAATTTAAAACTTAGGAAGACTATTTATGTATGATTAACTATGTTACCAACCACCACTATGTTTATTTTACGTTATCATGCATTCACCAACCGCCATCTAAAATTCCTTTTATGTTTAACAAAATGATGCTTATCAACAAGGGGCAGTTCTGTGATGACGAGTACAATGCTTAATACTTTTTACATGAAGTGTATTTTCTCATAATCCTTCCAAGTAAAACTGTTTTACTGTTGAGGAAACAGAAAAATGTTTTAAAGAAAAAAAACTGTACAGAAACTGACCAACAGTGGCTTTTTTAATTTGGTTGATTTTAGCTCCATTAGGCTCTTATTCAGTGGATAATTTACTTTTGTCAAACCCCTTCAACAGCCAGTGAATATTTGTCACCAGACTTCAGGCTCACGCCTTTGAGCCGTGGTTGTGATTTTAATTTGTTTTATTTCTAAAACCGCTGTATTTAAGCGTCAGGTTCTGCTGGGTTTCAGCCTCACCAACTAATGACGGACCATCTGAGATGTCAGATGGGTGATCGAAGCTTGACAGCAGCGCTCTGAGTGACAAGTACCAGCGTGTCCCGTCACCAAAACTGCAACATTTTGGAAAAAGTAGACTTGGGTTCCGTGCACAAACATGTGATAGCTGTTCAGGACTCAACGATGTGTCTGCAAATGTTCCAATCATTCCGGTGGCAGAGCAATTGCTGGCAACAATTTCTGATATATGTGAACTTTTTTGTTTTTGTTTTTTATGTGTTAACACCTAATCCTGGCTCCGTTGCTCCAGGTGAGCGGGACATCAGCGTGTACTGCGGGGTTCAGACCATCACCTTGAAGATCAACTTCTGCCCCGTGCTCTTCTCTGGCTACACCGACGCAGACTTGGCCCTGAACGGGCGCCACAGTGACGCACAATGCAGAGGCTTCATCAACAACAACACCTTCCCCACGGCGGTCCTGTTCAGCATCAGTCTCAGCTCTCTGGAGGCCTGCGGCAACAGCCTGGTGGTAAAGAATGCACAAACACAAGCACGGGGTGTTAATGTGATCCATAAGTCATTTCATCAGGTGGATCATTGAGTTGGGAGAAGGTTTGGTGATCGACGTTTTCCTCTGCAGGTCAGCACAGCCTACGGAGCCAACGCTTATGGGAACATGTCTCTGGTTCAAATTGGGAATGTCTCAGGCTACATCGACACGCCCGACCCGCCAGCTATAATCAGCTACCTGCCCGGTTTGTTGTACAAGTTCAGCTGCAGCTACCCACTGGAGTACTTGGTCAATAACTCACAGCTGGCATCGTGAGTTCCTGGACAAAAAAATCCTGTACAATGGAGGGCTTGATTTTCAGGAGTAAATCGTGGATTTCATATTAACATTTATTCATTGATCAATCAAGTATGAATTCATATTTGATTTTCGTTCTCCTAACCGGCAATAACATTTAAGCGGTTTGTAAGCCTGAGTGCGTTAGTGTCGTCTGGTATTCTGATAACCATTTATTCTAAAATGTGAAGAATTTCGTAAGGATTTAGATGCAAATTTACAAGCATTCTTCCAAATGTTCAGCCACATAAATGTCTTCACAGCTCATCTGCCGCAATAACTGTTAAGGACAGCAACGGTACATTTGTGAGCACGCTGAATATGATCCTGTACAACGTGAGTACACAGCTGCATTCTGAATTTTCTATGTAATCATCTCCATTGCCTTGCACGCACTTTGACGGTTTGGATTGTGAAATGAACCAAAAAATTGATAGTTAGCCAGTCAGGGTGCTGAATAAAATATTTTTTTCTCTTCACAAATTCACTTTTTTCAATAACTCCCAAGACAAGATCATAATCAACATTTAATATAATCTCTTTTTTTAATTTGGAGTCAATTCCAGCCCCAATGAATGTTTTGAGCATAAGATAAATGTTTCTGTTTTAGGGATGCATGCTTAAACCACAGTGCTCAACTGTTTGAGATCTTTGTGATGTGTTTTTTAAAGTTGCTAAATTAGATTATAACTACACTATATCAATGCAGTGGAGTAATGTCTTCACAATAAGTGTGTCTAGACACAACATTCTCTCGGGTTTGTTTGTCTGGCTACAGACCAAAAAACAAACTTTGGAATGTTGCCCACATTACATTTTAAATGCTTCTGATGTCAAGACCCGGCCCAATTGTTCATTTCAATTTTCCCATTTCACATATTGAGTGGAAAATCGATCGTTTGACTTTTTCTTCTCTACAGGATTCAACATATAATCAACCTCTCTCTATTCCAATGGCTGGACTGGCTCTAAAAACAAGAGTATTTGCTGCTGTGAAAGCTACAAACTTAGACAAACGGTACAAGACACCATTGTGTTTTTCATTACTGAATCTTTAGTTTATTGTCAGATCTTGAATGTTGGTCATGTAGCAGACATTTCTTTTCCATTACAAGAATAACTTTCTCTTTCCCACCATCCTTCTTACGGATGAAGTGCTTTTTCCTATGGTTTGCCTACATTCATTATGCCATTATGTTATTATTCTACATGAAGGCGCCAGTCTACAGCGGAGAAAGCCTTGATCTGTGCTTTCCCATGTGCAGTTAGATCTCTATCCTCCATCCCGGCTCACAGTTTTGTCCCTCTGCAGGTGGAACATCTTCATGGACTACTGTTACACAACCCCCTCAGGGAATCCTAATGATGAACTCCGCTATGACCTTTTCTTTGGGTAATCTGCCTTCTTCCTTTTTTCAAGATGATGACTCGATAAACCACAAAAGGGAATCATTATCTATTCAGGCTGCCCAAAAGGCTTATCCTGGATGAATGCTACTTTTTATTCTTCTTAATTAGTGCTTAAACATAAATCTAGGCATCAAATCTGTCGTTGTCAGCGTGTGCACGAGTACATGTATGTGTAAGTTGTTCTCTTTTGACACAGCTGCTACAAAGACCCACAGACGACTGTTTTTGAAAATGGGAAGAGTCAGTCGGGCCGTTTTTCCTTTGAGGTTTTCCGTTTCGTCAAACACAGACACCAGAAGATGTCAACTGTGTTCCTGCACTGCGTCACCAAGCTTTGCCGGGCGGACGACTGCATAATGCTCATGCCTGTAAGTGTTAAAATCGTGAATCACAGTTTGCGTCCTATGACCTCAATGAGGATTGACATCTGAGGATGTGATTGGTAGATTTGTGGGCGAAGGCGCAGGCGGGATGGAGAGAACAGCCTCGATTCCCCGGCAGCAACATCTGGGACCGCTGTCATCACAGCTGGACCGATCATCACCAGGAGTGGTATGAATGATAAACTGTCTCTTTAGGGAATAGTTTACCAGCTTTCTTGTTGAGTAAGATAAGACTGCTACTACTTTAGTTACTGTGACTAGTCGGCTCGTAAGACGTGTTTGTTTAATCAGTGCAACAAAAAGTCTCACTGTAGTTAAGTGTGTATTTGTGAGCTCTGAAGGGTAAAGTTTACGTTTAACAGTGCGAGCTGTTTTCCCATAAGTCCTTTATTTAATTTTAAATTAACCTAAATCGCTAGCGGTATTTCCATTTAATGGACAGACACGAGAGTGGTATTGACCGTCTTATCTAACTCTGCAAGACTGCTTAAGACTGGAAACTACTTTAAAGATAATTATATCCATGACCCTCTAAAACTCAGATTAGTTATACTTTTAGATTGGAATCAGGAATATTGTCCATTCCCTTACAAAATCTTTGAGACCAGACTGGTAAACCTGATACATCGTGTCAGTAGACGGTTGGTAGATGGAATTGTATTACAACTACAACTACAGTCTAGTTCTACACAACAGAACTAGACATTTATTTATTTTTATTTCCATTTTTCTATGCTAAGCTAAGGTAAGCGTTTGTTACTTGAGAATGGTTTCATTCTTCTTATCTAGTTAACAGTTAACATCCCATGATGTTGAACCGTTCCATTAAACGAATAGATCAATATATCCACGTACCCTTTTAAGATTGAAATATAAGTAAACTATTATAACAATCACGATTTAAATGATTTATTTTCAGATGAAACTCCTGCCAACAACTCCCAACTTGGTAAGCTCCCATGTACAATGTTACAAAACAGAGACAGGTTTAAATGAAGTCTTGGGATAGGTGCATTGATTAGAAAAAAACATCCGATTTAACTTTCTGCTGTTCTCCGCCGCCACGGCAGCATCTCGAGAGCCCTCGCATCCAATGAACCCAGTGACCAGTGCTCTCGTCTCAGGAGTGGCCATCCTGGGTGCGGTCAGCATGGGCTTCTTCCTGCTGTCACTTCGCCTCCTGAACAAGTCCCGCCTCCCAACAACCACAGCCTCAGGTGTTTGGAACACCACCTTTAAATGAGCAGACGTCTGTAAATGATGACATCTCGGTACTGACAATATATGCAAAACGTTTTCACATGGCGGGTACACAAACTGAACAGAGGTTACGTGTGTGCCTCTCTTTGTACACGCATTATTAAATGTGTATATGTAATGTTTGTAGGCGTTGTGTATTTATTGCCTTCAGTACCTCAGTATTCTTATTATTCATTCAGCAATTATTTTGTCAATCACAGTATCTACCGAAGTTGTACACTCATAACTCTGATGCTAATGGACAAATGTTGCTTTTTAGAAACTTGTAATAAAGTTGTGTTGGATTAAAATGACTCATTTTGACAAATTTGTATCTTCTTTTGAAAAAATCTGGCTGATATCCGATTCCAGTGGGAACTTGTCACGGCCCTGAACTGACCTGCATGACCCAACAGAACAAAAACAAAGACGACACATATGATACAAACATTTAGTATGAATGACAACACGGAGGCTTCCGAAGACGTCCTTCGCAGTTTTGTGTATAAGTTTAAAACCAGCTTATATTTATTTTAGTAATGAATTAATATAGGTGGTTTGTCTTTTCTGCATGTATTGTTATTTTTTGTCTGTACATTGCCGCATTGTTAGTTTTATTTCTACTTCTTTATTTATCCGATCACCCCTTGTGACACATCGGGACCGCCTGATGGTGCATCTCTCAGGGTTTCATCTTAGCAAATATTTAAACAGCGGAAATAAACAATAGAGCGAAAAACAAGTACAACAAAGCTGGACATGGGTAATATATTAACATTTACATTCTATGTACAGATCATTTATGCAAGTTGCAAAGGGGTGCTGATATAGATATGGGATGATTAGTGGAACTTATTGTTGCTCGAATCATCCTATAATCATAATCACTCAGGTAAGATGTGATTAGGAAAGTAAAGCTCGGCCTTGATATTATTTAATTGTGTAAAGAAAGAGTTTGCATTTAAACAAAAAAGTATGTACTTTGTACTTTATGCAGACTACTTTCAGATAGAAAAAAGATTGAACTTGAAACTTTAAAAGCTGACAATACGTGTTTTTTACATGACTTCAAACATACTGATGCTCAGTATCAACTTGCGAAGCACTTCCCATGTGTCATTTGTATGCACAGCCTGGCTTTGACCAGTCTACTACATCACCAACACAACCTACCTACTATCTCCTAAAGGCTGCATAATGACACACTTTTGTATTAACAATAAATAATAGTTTTGTTTTATGCCATTATCTGTGTGATCTCTCTGTAATATTCCTCTTCAATACGTATCCATATTTGTGAAGGTTTTTCCGTTGTCACGACCGCATTGATGTCCAATCTCCAAGAAAACGAACAAAAATACCAAACACTGCCGGAGCTCATTAGATAACTGCCGGAATTAGTCTTTCAATTTTTGCAGTATTGATTTTCTTTTCCGATGACCTATATAAAAGTCTGTTGGCGGCAGATGAATCTCGCCTGTCTGACTCTGCAGCTGTTTTGTTACCCACACAGCTCGGCTGCTTTCACTATTCTTTATCACTCTAATCCTCCATTTCAACACCCATTTTGTGATGTATTCAGAGTCCACAATGGCCAGAGATAACTGAAAGGAGAGGAATAAATGCTATTATTCCCTCTTCTCAATTTACTGCCAGCGATAATTGATTCCACCTCCCAAAATGGAAATGAGGCTGGGATTTGGCTATGAAGTTCAGGCGAGTCAAGAGCAGAGAAAACCTATTCTTCAAAGACCTACGTGAGGAATGTGTGCATGGGTGTGTGCTAGGGCATGAGGACAAGAGGACTCATGGCCTGTTTAAGTGTTAACTTGTGAATTATAACGTGTATCGTATTTGATATTGTGGTTCGGCAAACCGTCGACAAAGACCAATCTTTGAGCCTGATCACAGTTTTCTCTTCCCAGTTGGCTCACTTGACAAGATCAGGTTTCAACTATCCTTTAATCATTTTCTCTATGCTAACCTCAACATTAATCTCATTTGTATTCAGTGTCTAAATATTTAGGAGTGTCTCTTCTGTAAATACAAATATGCAAACATATGTCTTTCTACTTTTTGCACTCGGAAATTAGATGTTCACAAGTCTTAAACATGCATTTAAGTTAACAACGTCATGCTGACTGTTTCTGGTAACATTTTGCAAGATCACAAGCAACAAAAGCCATCAAATAAAGTATTTTGTGTCAATGAATAGAACCCATCCATACTCTTACATTATTATGTTTCATATTAGCTGGAAAAGGGGGCTGAATTTCAGCCACAGCGCTTTGCACGGACAGTGTTGAAGCATGTAGCTCTGAAGGGTAACGTGTTGGGTTTCATCATTTGCTTCCATGAGAGAACCTTAGCAACAAAAAGGGATTTTTTCACGCAAACCAAGGCAGCCCCACCAAAGTACCATTGATCCTGTTTCCATCCAATCCTAAAGCAGCGTTGTGATCAAACGCCGGTCATGCTGACCACATGCTGTGTAACGCAGGCCAGTCTTAGTCTAAACCAGCAAGGAGACTGAGGAGGTAAGCAATCAAAAGGCAAATCCTGCATTGACAGTATTAAGTATCTTTTTGTGGATCTATGCTGTTAAAATGGCCTCGCTGAACTCCTGCATTGGGCTGGATTAATGAAGAGGTTCCTTTTTTGATATGTGTGTATTAGCTTCCTCATCCTGTGTTCCCTGTGTATTGTGGGCCAAGAGGATATCTGACTGCGGAATATGCCAGACAACCAGGTAAGATCGGCATGACCTTCTATCTCAATCATTTGTTTTTGACTGAAGGGTCCAAAACAAATGGAGGATTTCAGTTAATCGAAGTGTAGTTCGATAGGACGGCCACATTGATCCTTGTTAACAACCACACTTATTCAAGTGTTTTAATTGCACTTCCGAATGCGTTTACAGGGGAAATGTCATTTCTGAACAATTTGTAAAGAAACACTTCAAATTCCTCATCTGAATTCGGGTTGTAAATAGTATAAACACGACTCTTTCAGACACAGGTATTATTGCAGTGTGTGGCACATCGGCCATCGACCTGGCTGTCTACACCGGATACAACTTACTGATCCTCAACCAGATCCGGGACAATGTGGACTGTGAGGTGATGCTCACCTCAGTGAACCCTCCTGCCTCCCAGACAGAGAGGGAAAAGCATGTGGGAGTAACTGATTGGTGGGTATTGCGTCCACATAGTGTCCAGATTTCATTTTAAAGTGGTCTTGAGACCTGTTGACCTTTTGCCGGGGAGAATTCCAGCACATTTAGGGAGCTGAGTTCTGTGTAATTGAGGGTAATTTCAGATCGCTTTTGACTTAATATAACACAGAATTATGCCATTCCATAACTGTTGATGAGAATGTCAGAGTTGTTCCGCTTCCTTGCTGTAATTTCACTTTGTTGTGATAGAGACGTTGGCCGACATTTATTTTTAAGCATTTCTAAAATAATCATGCTTCCATTTATTAATAATTCCTCTCTTCCATCAAAATATTCCAGCCAGGACTACCCCTATATCTAAATGGGGCCCCTGTTTTGATTTAGTCTCTCAGTATTTCTATCCTTAATGCACCGCCTTTGTGTACCAGTGTGCTCTTCAAATGTGGAACTTTTAGATGGCGCTCCATAGATCACCACCATGCCAGAGAACGGTGCAGCCAAAAGGCTCGCTTCTACTTGCCGGCTTTCTGCTTCATTGAGCGACTGAATGACACCATTTCCAACTGGAACCTACTGCACCTGCAGCACACCTGCAGCACCTCAAGGTATAGGAAGGAGCTGCATGCTTGTCAAGCATCTCCAATCCCAGCTGTGTCATGAGCTCATGGATCTCTGAATGGTTTGGCCCACAGCGGTGCAGCAGGAAGAGGAGTGTGGGGCACAGTTGGTTGCATCACACAGTGGTCTTTGCTCACATGCACCATGAAGAGCAAGGCAGAGAGCTGTACCTTCAATTTGCATCTTTTTTTGTGTGCAGATGAATAGATAAAGGAGTCGGATAAAAGTCCTGCACTCTTACTAAGTGTTAATAAAAGTAAGCATTAGATGTTTTTTAAAGCGATGTTTATGTACCGCACATGTTTATCAGGCATCGTCAGGTAAAGAAGTCACATGACATTGTAATATGCACAATTAAAAGAATAGTTGGACAATATTTCGTGAAATGCACCAAATAACCTTCTGGTTGAGACAGAAATGTAAGGATCAATAACACTGTGAAGAGTGGAATCGAAAGCTACAGTCTGCAGCCAGATCGCTAAAGACTGGAATGTTTGCGCAGATCAATGTAATAAGATGTCTGAAGCAAAGATACAAAGGGAAAGATGAATTGCTGGACATGACCTTTCTACTTTTGTGTTCACACCAATGTTACATCCTGCACAGAAACCATAATTTATAATAAAATATTAAATAAATGATGTATAATTTATTTTTCTGGTTTTCTTTATGGATTAAACAAGCAAGATTTCATATGTTAAGTAGTGAGTTGTAGAGATGCTGATGGATGGATTTTTTACTGTGGACGGAGACAGTCAAGCTCTTTCTCTTTGTTTACAGATTTCTCGCTACACTAAACTAAGTGGCTGCTGTCTGTAACTTGCTATTTGTGATCCATCTCTTGGCAAGGAAGGGAAAAAAGCCATGAAAAAAGCCAATACAGAGAAAAATAATATAGCATATTAGAATATATATATTATACAACTAAATTCTAAACATTGAATGAAATGTAATGACATGACTCATCGAGAGGTTAGGAAAAAAAACAGCTTTAGTTTTTCAAATATTTTAACTTTGTATTGTAACTCCTGCTTTTGCTCCCTTTCTTTTCCCTCGGTAAATTCCCTTTTACCTTGCCAATCAGAATCCCTGCATAGTAAGATGCTGACTTGCCCTGTTTTTCATTCAGCCATTCAATCCAAAGAAGAGGCTAAGAATGTTATTTATTAACTTAACTGCCGGGAGAACAGCCTTTCACAAAGTTTTACTAATTGCATTTCTCCAGAAATGAAAAGCTTCTTTTGCAGCATGTCAATAATGTATTCTGTTGTTGGCTGGATTGTGCCTCCTGTAATGTCACTCTCATTTGTGCACAGCTCTGTCTGGAGGCCAGGGCACGTCTGTCGTCCTGGGGTTTTTGATAGGATAGGTGTGACAGCCATTTTGATGGCGACATCTTTTTTTTTATCAAAAACCGAAATGATCAAGCCAGCAGCGGCCCATAATGTTGATGAACAGGGCTCAGCACAGGCCAGCTGACACAATGAGTTTGACAGGCTGACATTCGCATGCTGGTGGAGGTGCATAATGT